TATTCCACGGCTGAGAGAGTTCATGGTTGCTGCGCTCTCCACCACTCAACGTGACACTTCATTCTAATTTGGAATTCTACTTGTGTATGAAGCAACCGTGCCCTCAATCACATTCTTGCAAGTTATTAAAATCCCTCTCATCCACTCCCACTTTGTCTTTCCTTCCGAACTCATATTCCCTGTCTCTCCCCTCCCTACAAAATGCTCAAAGTTGTTCAATAGCACCTGAAGTTTTAGGTGGGAATACCAATAGAGGCAGCAGTACTCGCTTGATCCATAATAAATGTGTGTATGCTGCATGTGGTGGAAGAAATGTGCATTGCTTGCTAGAGAGGAGGCAGATGACCGCTGTGAATTTGCTGCCCACAGCTTTTCAAAAGTTCAAACACTCATACTATAGTGAATGTGAGAGGGCGTAAGTACAGGGAATGAAAATAAACAGCAAAATAAGGAGAGAAACTAGCAACTATGAATCAAAGTTAGTTCGGATTTGAAACGTATGCACTGTTCACATTTGTGCACATGCTGTTATATTCACACATTTCAAGTGGTTTTTCACGCCAGTGTTCTCCACTAAAAGCATTTTAGTAGCAACCATAAGAGATGATACTGACTTTTGATACTGACTTCAGTCATCTTTCACCACAGCATTACCTTAACTGCAGCTGACTCCCAAATCTATCAGCTATGCCAGCATAACCACTGACATATCACAACTGGGCCAGAAAAAAACAATAAAGTAGGTCTGATAACACATTTGTTTCAACATTTTAGTAAGCTTGATACAGTGAACAGTGATGTGTATGTTAAGAGGCATCAGTTAAGTTGATTGAATTTGCTTGTTAAACAGCTAATTAGCCAGCAGTTCAAGTACAAAAAAATACTGATGTCTATATTTACATTTACACAATGCAGGAAAAAACCATGTCTATTTCATCTAAAAGAGACATTTACAATTAACCCCAACCCATATAAATCTAGTTACCTAAAGTCAAACTTTTCTTGCCCCTATACAAGTTGTTTTATTTAACAAATACAAATAACAAATAACAACAAAGAGCCTCTTAGCTGCCATGCAAGCGAGATTCTGTCAGCACTCCAGCAATGTTTTTCAGAAACTTGTCCTGTCTTTGAAAAACAACCCTGTTTTACTTGCCTTGCACTCAAACTTGTGGCAAAACTGTGAAATACATAAAGCTTTGCACCTCCAACACCACCTAACTAAACTCCTATTTCCAGGATCATTTAAATGCTCGCTTGTGCTCATGCACTGTCTTTACCCATTGCCATTTTCTCATGAGTGCCTTATGGGTACTGTACATGTGCAACTCTCAACAGAGATCAGCTCCAGATCAGTCAAGGTAGCTTTTGTCAGGGGAATCCTTATTGTTGAGTCCACCATAGTAACACCAAAAGTGTCCAAAGTACACCAGCCAGCTACTAGTTCCACACCATTTCAGTACAGTATGAAAACCAAGGTCCTTCAAACTGGTTTGACATAGATGATCCATCACAGTGAGCAATTTTCCACCATTACAAAGCTTAGTCCATGTTGTGATTTTCAGAACTTGTCTAGGTGGTGTATTCACAAATGCCCCAATGAACCCAACACTCATCTACCTGATTGCATGAACGAGCTATGCTCTATAAACTGAAAATCAAATCCAGGGGCTGTATGCTCCAACAGGGTTTACCCCTGGTCTTAAACTAACTAAACTAAATTTGCTGTTCTAGACCAGGCATATAATCCAGACGTATAATCTAGTCATGAGCCGATGTAAAATCTGTTTATAAATCACTCTATACTGATGTTTTCAGGTGAGGACACTGGCAGTTTGATGGATTTTTCTCAAAGAAATGTCTTTCTTTGCTTGCTCAGAACATTGTTTTCTGGGGCTGGCCTTCTTATTATTTATTATTACACTGGACTACTTGGCAGTCAGCGTTTTCTTGTGCTTGCTGGACAGCTCTATTCATTTTCTTATCTCTGTGTCTGTGAACTTTTCTTTCCTTTTTTCCTCCTGAACATCGCTGCAGATTACAGGTTTCACAGGCTAGGTAATAGCCATAGTCATGTGGAATGCATCGTGTAATACTAGGCTTGAGTTTGGTTGGTGCAAGTTAATTCTACAGACTGTTCCTAACAAAGGCCGGCTTATCTGTTAGGACCAGGCTTAGTAAAGAGTGCAACCGATCCAGTGTACAGAACACTAAAATTCAAAGGCTGTAGTGAATCTCACCGTTACTGTTTTGTTCTTCTGCAACACTTCAGACTTGTCCATAATCTGGACTGAGGAGGGCTTCTCTGCAAACACAAAAGGAGACAATCAGGTTTTGGAATTACAAAATTGTAGCTTGCAAAGCATTTGCATAAACTTTTTCAGATTTTCCTGCCTTTCTTCATACCATTAATGATTTCCAAACGCATGTACAGAACTGCGGGGCACACAAACATTTCACTCATTTCACTGACAACGTTCAGCAAACGGCCAGCAGATAGCCCAGTTCATCTAAATGCTTAGCTGCAAACTTACTGCGTTCTTAATATTCAAGCTGTAGGGCATCATTTCAACTTGCCCCCTGTTAACTACAGCCTAATGCTCTCTCTAAGGCCTATTGAGTGTAGTCTCTTCATGTCCTATTTCACGCTTGGGTTTGCAAAGCCCATTAGCAGGTGATACATTGGCAGTTTTGAGGAGTGCAATTCAGATTTAGAACCGTATTTCAGGAGGAAACAAATGGGACACAGTGGATGAAATTGAGTTTTAATGCAATTAAAACCAAGCCGTTTGTTAGCAAAAGTGAATATAAGCGTTACCCATGAATCTTTGAATAAGCTTGACAAATGTATTTTATTTATTTATTTATTTATTTTTAAGCCAATGCTAAGGATTTTCCGTTTCAGTGACTTCCTGGAAATTACACCAAACAGCTTGAAGATGACAACATTAACAAAATGTATTGTTCTTTGTTCAACAGTCTGCATGATGTTCTTTATTTGAAGATGACTAAATATGCACACAATATACTTTTACAGATCAAATACAGATGCTTTGGGACCCTGGGAATGAAAGTCATCTTCAAGCTTCCAATCTAAAGTGTCTTTCTATTTTTCTCGGCTCTGATTGGTTGGTTTTCATCCAGGCCCAGTGGATTCTTGTACATGTCATTAGGAGTGCTAAAACAAGTCAGAGTAACCAGATTTTCTCACAGATTATCTGTTTTATATACTGCAGTTAGAATACTGTGAACATTTCAGCAATGATGACAAAAAGTTACGTCTATAAAAGTTACCTACTGCAGCTTTAATGTCATATATTGTATATTCCGGTGCAGTTTGAAAGATGCTAATTTCATTTTCCATAAGTGTCTATGATGATCTCCACCCCTTTCAGACATGCAATATGTAAGTAGTGAAGGCTTTTTGGAGCATCGTCATAGTGAGAACAGAAGTAGTGTGTACACAATATAATATGATGATAATATGATGATAATGTGATGTAGGAAGTGTCTTCTGTTCTTCTATTAATTCACCAGTTAAGTTATGAGGATAAACATTGTTATAGTGTTTTGAGCTTACTGTAAACAAGCACAGAGACAGGGAACTCCATGAGGTTGGCAGCTGACACCACCATGCAGGTGAAGGTCTTTTGGTCTTTGAGTGAAGCCTGAGTGATACGCAGGTTGAACTTGTCATCAATGCTGACCCGCTGGGCATAACTGTCTGTGGCCTGAACAGTGGCCTGGTCGCTGCGGGTCTGTTTGATCAACAGGTCTCCGGGAGTGCCATCGTCTTTTTCCTGAAGCACAACACGGAGAAGAGACAGAAATGATAGGAAGGTTGGGTGATTCTGTAAAATCAATGTAGCACAGTTCCTCATTCCTCAGTCATAATTATAGTTTAACTTTAACAGAGAAGTAGAAAAATGTAAGAATTTATGACACAGCATAAAAGTGTCCATCAACAAACCTCCAAAGAACATGTGACATCATTCAAAGTAACACCAAGAAGAAGAAAAAACTGTCAAGTCTATTGGATCTTTTTCATCAATGATGAATTTGATATGGGGGCAGCAGTATGTTGTAGTTATTGTATACTCTATTGTACATGTAGTACACCCTAGTTTATATTTGATGTTTGTGACAATGGGTCATCTTTCTATTTATGACAGATCTTAATTACTCTTTTATCTCTCCATGCCTCTGTGATATCCTTCTCCCTCTCTCTCATTTTTAATGATTCTGACTGAAACTCTTGTTTTGCCCAGGTGAATTTCATGACATATTTGGCTCTTCCCTAAAACCACTACTTCTTTTTTTGCGCATTTCAGTATTTCCTAATTCTTCCAGGAAAGTTTAAAAATGTATGTGACAATGTGTAGTCATATACACCAAAGCCAAGTCATTTCATATGGTCATTTTTTTCTCTATAAACACTTCATAGTAGGACTATGTGTTGGCAAGAATCTGGCGATACAGGGGATACAATTCAGTATATTTTAATATATCGAGGTGATATATTGCTTTTTTGTTTATAAAATCGTTAAAAATGTAACTTTTTTATGCAGCCAGAACAGAGTAACAATCAACATCATAGCACTCTGCTATCTAGTGGCAAGGGGTTTTAACACAAAAATCAACAGCGTTGTTAGAATCGATACAATATCACACAACAAAAATGCAAAATACATATACATACAATACAGTATTTTTCGATATTTTCTTACACCCCTACTTCATAGACCGCATTGAAAGTCAGTTTCTACTTACATATTTCCACTTGACGAACATCAGATGCTGGGGTGCCGGAGCTCCATCGTTGCATGGTATAACAATGGTCTCTCCATACAAGGCAGTCACACTTTCTGTGCCCCAAACTGCAACACAAAAGGCAACAGATTGTTACTATTAACTATTAATCAATAAAAAAAACTTCTTCCTGTCAGTCACAGGTGTCTAGCAACAGTGGGAGCATTTATCTCAAGTACTGCTGGTCTGGAGCCTCATTGGCCAAATCTGTGCAGATAAACTGAGAAATATGTGCTCTCTCCTACCTCAAAGTACTGTTATGGTGTATTTGTGCACATCATACCCGAAATATTCCAGTAGAGCCAAGTTACAGGCAAAAGGTTACAAACCTTTGACATCATAGGAAACACAGCAACAATAAAAAGGCATAAAAGTGCTTGTGGGATTCACACTTTTAAGTGACAGGGAGAGACCTGATGTCTTAGATCACTTGATCTAGAGCTTTTGAAGAACAGAATATTCAAACAAAATATATGGCTCATATCCCTATGATCCCAGAATTGTTAGACACCCTTAACTAGAATGTGCTTAGACTTGCCAGCCCCTCCCAAGTGTGAGCTTCGAGAAATCGTGCTGCAAACTAAGTGAATAAAGGAATGCCTCCCAGCTCGATGGCAGAGGTGCGAGAGGTCAGGCTCAGCGATTCAAGCTCAGCGCTGCTTGTGCAGTGGCACCATAAAATAATTTCCTCTGTCCACAAAAGAGAGGGAGCATTGAGGTGGAGTGGTTGCTATGGCGCCACAGCCCAGTCATGTGCATCGTGGGAGGAGGGAGAAAAGGGGCGGAGAAGAGATGGATGGATGGATGGGGGTCAGAGCAAACCCGGAAGGTCTTCACGCTTCAACTCTTTCTCTTTGAGCTTTTGGCTAAACAGGCAGAACAAGAAGCAGTTTAGATTCTGGTCATTCCAGATGAGGCCAGCTGCTGACTGACGCGGCTGCTTTTGCTCAATGCTCGTCTTTTCATACTTCTCCCAGCTCTGTGCTGACCTTAACTCATATCAAATCTTTTGCTAAAGTTAGTACGCGACAAAACAAGTATCAGGTCCGTCTTCGTTGAAAAAGTCAGAAGAAAACACATGCACAGCTCTAACCATAATCATCATAATCAATAAATGTTTTTCACCAACATCTCATTATTAAATGTGTTCAGATCAGAGTGCTTCGCAACCTTGTTTTATAGTAAATTGGGTTTGACAGACAAAAGTATTCCATGAATCAGTTCATTTCCTGAATCAACAGTAAGTCAACATGTAATTCCCCAGATCCACTCTGTTTTAAACCAGTTTGACAACATCCAGTCAAGTTGCGGGAGAGAACCACAAAGAGCTAACTGCGTTACTGAGGGCCAGTTGGAAAAACTGATCAGTTGGTCAGTTCAGTCAAAAGTTGAGGACTTACAAAACAATGACTTGGTCCCACCTCTGAAAATGTATCAGCCTTAATGTGAAGTTGAGCATATGGCCTTCCTTGTCCTACAAGATGTTGTAAAATTATACATTATTCTTCCCTTCCATATGATATAATAAGTGATGTCAGTTTTTACTTATGGCTCTGTTTATTCACATCAGAGAACAGGATCGTTTGAACGTCTAGAAAAAATACATCAATGGTGTGAACTTCCTATAACACAAAGCTTCATTGATTTTTTCCAAAGCTGCTTTCAAATTAAAGCAACTGTGTATACGATGAGCTACACTGGTTATGGTTTAATGAAGAAGACCATGAAAAAAAGCTGCATGTTTTCCCTGGTAATGCAAGACACAAGTCACATGGGGATTCGGCTCAGAGAGTCAGCTAAATTTAACATCTTTGATCACATAACAACAGTTATGGAGAAGTAAACAAACTGTCTCAGTGAATTCGAGCTGGATGGCCAATTATGAGAATGTGTGCGCCTAAAAACTTCAGAGTGCAAAGAACTAAAGTGGTAGCAGAAAAAAAAAACATCTCCAATTTTAGGAGGTATGAGACATTGGCTTGGTTCCCTGCCCAGTTTCTTTCTGGGTTTCGCATTTATACAAAGGTCACAGTTTCAGTGACATACAGAAAATAGAAAGGAGAAGTGGTGTTAACATTGTCTTAAAGTGTGTACACACAGATATGAATTTTTATCACCAGATGGCATAACTACTAAATATTGTATTGGTGAGTGGCCAAAAAGAGAGAAAATAAGAACTTGCAGCCCCTCTATGGCTAGATATATGTGTATATATGTGTCTAAATATAGTTGGCTAGAGTGCTGAAGTCTTTCCTAATTTCCTAATTGGCAAATTACAGCCACACAACCCCCAAAAGCCTTATTGTTGTTTAGTTGATTTATATCATAGGCCGGTGTACTGTGATAACAAAAGAACTGATCAAATGTATCAGATGTACCATGCATAACATTTCATTAAAGCTGCAGTAGGTCATTTTTCTAAAAATTATTGTTTGTCATATTTGCTGACATTTTTACTGTGTTTTGACAGTACATGAGACAGATAATCGTTAAAGAAAATCAGATGATCAAACGAGAACCACCAATGAGAGCCAAGAAATATAGTTGACTCTGACTGTTGATTCTCATTCTCAGGTTGTCAAACACAGATGCTTTGGGACGCTGAGAACAATCAACTATCTTCATACCTTCAACCCAAAAAGTCTTTATATCTTTCTGGGCTCTGATTAGTTGTTTTCATCCGGGCCAGAGGGATTCTTGCAAATACTATTAGAAGCACTAGAAGGACCCAGAAGACCTTGATTTTTCTGTTTACATTTAATGACATTTTCAGAAAATGTGACAAAGTATTTTAATAAAAATCCACACACACACACACACACACACACACACAAACACACACAAAAAGATGCAGAGAAGCATTGCTAGCAAGACCCGGTTATAATATTAAATCCAAGGTGTCTCTGCTATAATGGTTCTTGTCAGAGCTGTAGCATGGTATGCACAGTGGGCAAACAGTGGCAACAAGAACAGTTACCTAAGAATCCAAAGCAAACAGTGCTGCTGGGCCTCACTGATATAACCACGCTCCCTTTAACATGTAGCGTTACCAGGTGTACCGCTCTATGTTGCTTTTTTATCCCTTGTCCTACATATTGAGACGATGTGCCACATTTTGATTGGCTCTAGTTTTCAAAAACTAGCTAGGCTTTTCTTAAATCTGGCTTTTATCCAGTGGCTGTGAAGAAAGCAGGTAAGGCTGTCATCACAGGGCTGTGTTTGATGTCAATCAAACTGCACACAAACTAGGGCTGTAGCGATACACTACACTTAATGTCGCGACTACGATACGATCACGATATTCAGCTCACGATACGACTATGAATATCCACGGGATATTCGCAACGATACGATTTCTGAACGATTTTAAAGGGACAGTGGTGATATTTGGTGAGATCTTGTGGGAGTGTTCCATTGGACTTGGATTGGAATCATAACTTGGAACTGGGAAAACTGAGAATTACACAATATAGGTGCTCTGACTGGGCAGAGAGTTACAGGGGTGCAAAATGCTGGAGCAAAATGATCCGAACATAGGGTGGGAGACAATGTAGTTTAATTTATTGAAAGTACAGGTGCAAACTGTAGCTTACAAGCTTTTGAAAAGTAAATGTGCCAGTATTACAATGGAACAACGGGAGAGTTTTTTTTCTACTTATGTACTGTAGATGCTGTTGCATTGGTTGCATTTAGTAATGTTGATTTTACTTTTCATGTTAGCCTTTATTTTATTTTTATGTTAGCTTATGTTTTACTCTAACCCATGTATTCACTTTCCCACCTTTGGTATTGGCAACTGATTGCACAGTAATTTCCCGGGATAAATAAAGCTTGAATCTTAAATTTAAAAAGTGGCAGCAAGTGGTCTGTTGCTGGAACAGGATCTTGCAGCTTTTTTACCTTGAACTGAACATATGATGAGCCGTAGTGCCTAAGCGCAGCACCAGGTAAAGTAACATTAGTACCGATGGGCTTCTCAAACACAGCCAATAATTCAATGTCCGCTAAGAACAACATTTAAAAAGTTTAACTTAAAAGTGTACCCCGTCTTAGCGGGTAGTTTAAGGCCAGGAAGAAGAAGATGTTCGGCGATCTGTGTTTTAAAAAAGGGAGTATCATAGACGGGTAACTTGCTATAAATTGCTCTACAGCGACACTAGCAGCTGGCTGACCTAACGCTCTTCCTGCAAAAGCGAAACACGGGGAAACGGGGCAGGAGCGCGAGTGCCAGGCGGAACCGGGGGGATTGAATGGGACTAAATGAGTCGCATACTCGCGGCTAAAAAATCGATACTTTCTGGGGAAACAAAATATCGTATTATATGCGGAGGATCGATAAAAACATGCATCATGCCCTAACACCCAACGTGGGTCAAGTAGGTTACCTGTCACATCTCTTGCTACGCCCAGACGGAGAAGTGCAAGTCACACAAAGTCCACAAGCTATTGCAGACAAGATGCAATGTTTATTTTTTAAATAGCCATTAAAGCTACATTTACTTTTATTATTTTCTGAAATTTGACACATTTAGA